ATATATATATATATATATATATATATATATATATATATATATATATATATATTTTTTTTTTTTTTTTTGCCTTGATGTCAGGGCTCGGTGAAGCTTGGTGCCCTTTGGGGGACGGGGTGGGGGGAGTGTCATGCTCAAATGATGTAATATGCCACGGAAAACGCCAGCTTCAGGCTTTACTACTCACGTCAGGAGAGGTTGTAACATTTAGCTGCTTCGATTTTGCATTTTTGTGTAGCGTGCTTATAGATTTAACGGTAAACAGAAAGCCTTACTGCATAGCTGTCTGGGTCCGGAGTCCCTCAGTGATCTCCTGCAGTCTTTGGACACCTCCGCTGAAACGGGGGACAAAATCTAAATTAAATAATTTAACATATATTATATAAACATCAGAGATATTAATATGAAAAAGATATTTTATGTACTAAATAATAATTTCCTATGAGATTCTATATAAAAAAAAGCCTTATTCTATTTGAAATATATGTTATTTTTGTGGAATATTGTCACCCTTTTGGAGAAAACTAACTATTAAATAGTTATCAAGCGATGTATCCAGCCAGCATTTGTGTTTGGTCGCCATGTGAATCTTACTGTGGCTGGTTTGGAAACTAAAGACTTTAAAGTTTTATTTGTGACTCTTTGAGGCCTTTTAGCTCAAACATTCTCAAAGTACAAAGATAAGAATACCAATCCTACTGGGGTTTTTTTTAAGATGACCTTGATATAGTTACCATATTTAATCCCCACCCTTATTTCAGTTCCCCCCCCCCCCAGATAGTAAATGGTATAGTTATTGCACAAGCCTAGTTTTAAGTGGACCCTAGTGTATAATTGGCTTCTTGTCTGGAACCTAAGATGAGAACCATGAAGGCATTTAGCTGGATTTCGAATTATTATTAAGAAAACTATTTCAATTTTAGAAATCCATCTAGGACCCATATAGATGCATCAAAGCTGTAGACAATCCCATTTGGGACCCATTATTCAGCACAGGTCCTTCTTGAATGTGCTCTACATGTGAATGCTGGCTGGGTTGGGGGGTGAGGCGGGACGATAGTTGGGTTGTAATAATTTGCCTTCATGTTATTTTAATCTGTAGCATTAATTCTGTTATTATTTCCAGACAACAAAACAGTGCAATTCTTTTAATAGGGTTGTGTTTATACACGATGGGAACCACTTCTTCTTACATTGCTGTCTTGAAAATGTTTCTTCCCACCGACTGCGCTGCTCCGACATGGTTGTTCTTCCAATCAGGAAAACGTATGCAGAGGCCGTGTGAGCAGTTAAGTTTACCTCACTTTATTTACGTACTTCCTCCTCTTCAGGTCAGCGGTGGCGATGGAGCAGATGGTATTTATAGTAATTATTTTTACATTCAAACAAAAGCGTTTTATTGTATATTCACAGATGGAAATATTTTAGATTCTCGATTGCACTGTTCGCGTTGTTTCCACAAGGCAGTTTTGTCTGTAGACAAAGTAGCTACTACAGATGCCTGCTTTTAAACAGCTTCTGCTGCTGTAAAGGTACTCGATAGTCATCACTTTGCAAGGACGCTGTCCCTTTGCACTTCACAGGAATGACCAAACAATGTCAGCCGTTATTTATTTCTGCAGCTCGTCTCACCGCTTGTTTTTCATGCCGTAGTCAC